TGCCACTGACAAATGTCTTTAGACCATTCCAAAAGGGGGGGGGGAACCATGTTCTTATGCAGAGTAGAATTGTAATTGTAAATGGGCTGATTCATCAATGGCATGCTCATAACTGTGCCTGAACTGCAACAGGGAACTGCTGCTTTTTCTTTCCTAATCCTTACTATCTTTTTCTTTCCTAATCCTTACTATCGTCATTTTCCTCTACTTCTTTTGTATGTTTGTCACACTCTTGTGACCCTCTATTTCTGGGGTGCCTTGATAGATGATGAGTTGCCCCCCCCCCAATCCCATGGCAGTAGTGTTTGTTCTCTAGTCATGGCAGTGGGAATCTATACTAACGCGTCCGTTTTTCAGCTCAGTTCTTTATGAAATGAGGCTGAAAAGAGGATGACATTAATTATGTGTACCCTGTATATTGCATTGTGGATTTTAAATGTTTTCTCATTTTTTGTTTCTTATTCACAGAAAAAGAGGAAGGCTGCAATAGAACAAAGCAATGTTCTCAAGAAAATCAAACAGAAAATGTAAAATGTGTCTATGTGTTCGGATCCTTTTCCGAACAAATGTAAATAAAAATGTATATATATGTTAAAACTGCTTTGTATTGAATCATTTTTCAAATGTTACAATATTATGATAAGGCTTGTACATCATAACACAGGCATAATAATAATGACTGCATTTACATAGCACATATCCATGCTCTTCGGCATGCTTTATGCCCTTTACAAGAATTATTACCCCAGTAAACCCAAGAACTCTCCGCAACATTTTTGGCTTCCCGAGAAGCATCATAAAGTACTAGCTGCGGATTACAAACACGAACACACTGACAAGATCTTTCGCTGTCTACAGCCGGGTACACATTCCCACCTCGGTGAAGGGAGGAAAATTTGTGTAACGTGCCTTTCCAAAGGACACAACATCAGGTCCCTGAAGGGATTCGAACCCACAGCCTTACGGTAGCAAGTCCGAGAGCCTAACCACAAAGCCACCAACACCATTGGTCTGTTTAGACCTGCATGTGAGCCTCAACCAGATTGTCTGAAAATTTTGCGCAGCCCCCCCCAAAAAAGCCTTTGTGGGTGTCATCCGAGTAACGAGCGACCACCCCAACAAACACAATAAAGAAGAGACCTAACCCTAACCCTACCCCCAAAAATGGACCTGCAACGGGCCTCATGTAAAAAGTCCAAAACAAGTCCTAAATGAAAAAAAAATTAAAATTAAAAAACCACACTCCAAAACAAACAAGGAGCATATAGATCTAGATCTAGAGTCTAGATCTATCTCTACATTGTTATAATAGGGTTTGATACAATTACATTACACAATAGAATTGGAATATGAATCCTCCATATAGATCTAGATCTAGTAATCTAAATAAATCTAGATCTAGATCTTGTAGAACAAGTGAATAGGAATAGGCCTTGAACTAGAAATCCGCATCCGATTCCGAACAGAGGGACTCAGCTGAGTCTAGAATCTAGATCTAGAATAGGTCTAAAAAAATAAATAATT